GACGACATCTTTGGTGGAGCTGATGATCCTGACACTTTAGAAATTGTTGCTAAAGAACTCATTAATCTATGCAGGGCGAACGGTTTTCCCCTTGCAAAGTGGCACTCGAACAATACATCAGTGCTTGAAAGTATATTCCAGTCTTCAAGCTCTTTGTCATTAATATCATTCCACGACTGCACTACCAAAATACTCGGATTAAATTGGAATCCTTCAACGGATAACTTCAACTTCACGTCACAATCGAGGAATTCAGGATCCAAAATCACAAAACAGCTCATAATGTCTGAAGTAGCTCAGATATTCGCTCCACTGGGATTCGTTTCTCCAACTACGGTGCGTGCCAAAATGCNTCTCAGATATTCGCTCCACTGGGATTCGTTTCTCCAACTACGGTGCATGCCAAAATGCTATTGCAGGAGCTCTGGTTGCACACCTTGGGTTGGGATGAGCAAGTTCCACAATAACTTGAAAAATAATGGCTAAACATTAGAGAAGATCTGCGATATCTAGACAAAGTATCACTTCCAAGATGGACATCCACATACCGACACTCATTATGTGAATTGCACGGATTCTCTGATGCATCTCAACTAGCCATGGCTGCAGCAATCTACATAAGAATACAATCGCCGTCCACAGGGCCCACAATCTCACTACTCTGCGCAAAAACTAAAGTAGCACCACTCAAGAAACTCACGATCCCGAGGCTAGAATTAAATGCTGCGCTAATTCTGGCCAAACTTCTACATTATGTTCGAGCTACACTTCATGTGAACATAGACTCTATTCATTTGTGGACGGACTCCTCAGTGGTACTTACGTGGATCAATTCTAACGCAGCCAGATGGAAAGACTTCGTAAGGAATCGAGTTCTTCAAAATCAAGATCTGGTGCCTGGCGAAAAATGGCATCATATTCCAAGTAAGGACAATCCAGCTGACTGCGCATCAAGAGGCATTAACACTTCACAATTAATCAACAATACTTTATGGTGGACGGGACCCACCTCGCTCTCTAAGTCAACGAAACATTGGCCAAAGCTACAACCTCTCCATGATCAGGCCTGCACCTTGGAAGCACAGCCTGGTCTATCATTCGTTGCAACGACTTCAACAAAACCACCTCAATGGGATCTCATTAGCAGGTACTCTAGCATATTTAGACTCCTAAGAATCACTGTTATTATCTTCAAAGCAACGTCAAGACTCAAAAGAGTACCAGATCCCTGCACATNCCGACTTCAATAAAACCACCTCAATGGGATCTCATTAGCAGGTACTCTAGCATATTTAGACTCCTAAGAATCACTGTTATTATATTCAAAGCAACGTCAAGACTCAAAAGAGTACCAGATCCCTGCACATCAATCACTCCTACTGACTTAGAAAGAGCAAGAAAATTCTGGGCAACGTCAACCCAAGCAGCATATTTCGCTCATGAGCTTAAGACACTGTCAGCAAATCAAAAACTTCCACATACTCATGTATTAAGCCGTCTAACCGCCTTCATCGATGAAGAAGCAATCTTAAGAGTTGGAGGACGACTTCATAACTCTCAGCTGGATCCTGAAAGCAAGCATCCTGCAATCTTGCCAAAAAACTCTCCATTTACCACTCTGGTAATAAGGCACGCTCATCTACAGACACTTCACGGTGGAGTGCAACTCACTCTATCAACAATCAGGCAGACATATTGGATAATTGGTGGAAGGTATCCAATAAAAACGCACATCCTATATTGTGTTGACTGTTCTCGACAAAGAGGAATCCGAGCACAACAATTAATGGGTCAGTTACCTCAAGCCAGATTCATTCCATCCAGACCCTTCTACAATACTGGAGTCGACTATGCCGGTCCAGTTACAGTATCCAATTGGCGTGGCCGAGTCGCCAAAACTCAAAAGGCCTGGATATGCGTGTTTGTATGCATGGTTTCATCAGCTGTTCATCTCGAGTTAGTCAGCGACTACTCCACAGACGGGTTCTTAGCAGCTTATCGTCGCTTTATCTCACGTCGCGGCAATTGCCATACACTCTTCTCGGACTGTGGAAAGAACTTCATTGGGGCAATAAAAGAGATTAAGAAACTCTTCACGCAATATACTGAAGAACATCAAGCCATCACAAACTTCATAGTGGAACATGGAACTCAGTGGTCTTTTAACCCTCCAGCAGCACCTCATATGGGTGGAAAATGGGAAGCGGTCGTGAAATCCGTAAAATACCACCTCTCAAGAACAATTAAGGACTTAATATTAACGTTTGAGGAGTATGCGACACTTCTAACGCAAATTGAAGCATTGCTTAATTCTCGCCNGGCGACACTTCTAGCGCAAATTGAAGCATTGCTTAATTCTCGCCCTCTGGAACCCCTAAGCGATGACCCAGATGATATTTCAGCACTCACACCTGGACACTTCTTAATTGGAAACGCAACAACAAAGATCTCAGCAATTCTGGACTCGGTGGTCACAATCATATCTTCAACGTGAACTGTCAATTTCGAAATGGTTTCACGCACGCAATGAGATCAAACCCGGGTCATTAGTGCTACTTACCGACGAACGATTCCCACCATCAAAATGGCCACTCGCTAGGGTGCAGACACTTCACCACGGATCCGATGGACTTGCTAGAAGAGCCACCATTAAAACTTCCACATCAACTCATACAAGACCCATCGTTAAACTCGCATTACTGCCAATCGTGACTACCAACGCAGACCAGAGCCAGCCTGAGTAAGAAACACTTCAAAGTTAGTAGAATGCCATTGCGCAAGATTACACTCCATGAACATCAATCATCAACTCCGTTGCTGATGGCGGGCGGAATGTTGAAAACTGATGTCGTTATTGAAATCATACTAAGGGCCGTTTGCACCATGTCTAGTTAACGCTAACTGGAGGTACATCCTTCAGTTAAGCACGTTAACTGCTTTATCGATCACATGTTATATGATGGGTGTCGATAACGTCGATAAAGATGTTTAACTGGGAGTTAGAATTAACTAGACATGGTAGATTTTATTCACTCTTCGCTGTCTTGTTTATTATTTGGGGTGTTCACAGTTCGTTCCAAATAGTGTCTGAAAATGTAGACGTCTACATTTTAAGACGTTTTCTAACCGTAAAATCTGTGGTGTTGTTGTTTCCCATACAAAATTGGAAAACGACGCCGTC